TAAAAAGCGTGAAGAAATGAATAAACAAGCAAACATACCTGTAAATATTATTAATATGTGTATTTATTATATTATATATCATACAACTACGCATATCCGTTATGTACTCGTACAGTGGCAGGAAAGAGATTGTAAGTGGAAGGCACTTGAATTAGCGAGAGCTTGGTATATATGTACATACAAACATTTATATGTTTAATATATACGCGTGATGTACAGTACTTTGTAGTAAATTCCAACGGATGCTTTTTATTGGAATAAGCCGTTTATGTATGTATGTTTGTGTATATAAATATGTCCATTGCGTGCATGCCACAAGTGGCTGAGACGGTTAACGAGATGCTTTTACAAAGACACGTGCAAGTGTAATGGTGGGGTTACATGAGTTACGTATATTCATTTTTAAAAATACGTATGAAAGTGTGGTTTCGCTCTTTGTTTTACTGAAATATATACGTACATATATTAGTAGTTGGTTGAGTGCAAAGAAATTATTTTTAAATTTAATTTTTTCTGTTTTAATTGTTTTATTTATTTCAGTTTTCTTTTTGCTTTTCATTTTCAAATTTTTTTATTTCAATTGATTTCATTGATTATTTTCAATTTTTATTTACTTTTTTTAAGCTCTTTCAATAAATTTTACTTTTATTTAAGTTTATATTAAACTAAATTAGTTTTATTTTCATTAATTATTTATTTTAATTTCATTAATTTTATTTTAATTTAAATTATTTTATTTTGTTTATTTTTTTTTTAGTTCATTCATATATGTATTTAATTTTTTCCTTAAATTTGTTCCTCTGTTAACCAAAAGCCAGCATTTACAAGCAAACAGCACGCGCTAAGTGGCTTTCGCTGTTAACTGTCAGCTAATAGTAAAATATTACTGCTTCTTTCAAAGATTATTTCATATGTACACGCATACATGCAGATATATTTATGTATGAATATACGCAGTACCATGTTAATGTTGTAAATACGTAGTTCGCTATGTACGTATGTTACTAATCTTTTAATTCTTTACTTATGTACTCGTACTTATCTGCTTATCGTTATTATTGTAGTTTGTGTCAAAAGAGTTAATTAATTACTTCTCCGCTGGCGCTGAGTGATCGCTTACTAATTAATGATTTCACATGTTCATCACAATTGGATTCATTTAATGTCATAGAACGGAGCTTTGAATGTCAAATAACTCCAATATTTCAAAGCAATTAGCAACAAAACTATTGCATACATTTAGGCTGGTCATTTAGTGGCAGACAGCGTGAGTGATAAAGGTGAGTTGTTTATACGATGTGGTTGCTTTCTGAAGGGGAAATTAGATGTTTCTAAGAAATATACATACACATATGCACACACATATGCGCAAGGTATACATATGGATATGTGTGTTATTAAAAGGCAAGGAGACTCTGTAAATAAAATGCTGCTTAATGAGGGTTAAATAATTTATTTTATAAAATACTTACATATATATTTTCATTTAATTATTTTCTTATGTTTTTTTCTTAATTTAGAATACTCTAAAAATAAATAAAATCGCCTTTATAAAATTGTCAGTTTTTGTAAAGTCTTTTATCTTATCTTTTTAGTTAAAACTATGTGGAAGGCATGTTTTTTGAAATCTATTATGTAAAATTATAAACTAAAACTTAAATGGAATATTCATTTATTCTTTAAAAAAAAAAACAATCAAAAATATATCCATAACATTAAGGTTTATTTGATTACTTTCGTCACCGCCCAACATAGCCCCTGAAAGCATGCTATACTCATGGCACATGTACCTACCAGTGCTGTTGGCAACATGAGTCTGTTAGCCAAGTCAGGTGCTTGGATTAAATTCCAAAAATGTAAAATTGAGCTACCTTATGTCATATTTATTCTTTTAGATTTAAATACTATTTCCGTACATTGTAATTAGACAAATGTGCCAAGGATATTTGTGAGAGCACAACCAAAAAATTACTATAATTCCTGCAATTTTGCTGATATAGGTTTCAAATTTTTTCAGCTATTAATTCGGAACTTTTACTTTAAAATTGTGAGTGGTGAAGTTTTTCTGTTTTCGAAAGATTTTATTTTGAAATTTTATATTAAAAAGACTTGCAGATCATTTTGTATGTCACAATGATGCTTACCCATTAAGATGAAATTATTATTTTCAAATTATACTGTAAATACAGAAATATTTTACCAGCATTAGCAGTTTCAAAAAATCTTAAATATTAATTCAGTTTTTGCCTAATCACATACTTACTGTTTTATTCATAAAAAAAATTCTTCATTTCCTTTTTTATTTAAACGAAAGTAGATTTTTCTCTTTTATTTTTGACCATATAAAAATAGTTGAGTTTTTAAGTTTAACTGAAGAGATACAATACAATACATATACATAATCTAAACGAAAGTGACACAATTTTACAGTGCATACCAATAAATATGCACACAGCCCATACTACAAGCTCAAAGCTGTAAATGAAAGAAAGAGTACTCAATTTAAAAAAAAAAAAAAGAAATCTATTGCAAAATAAAGGCATTAAAGGCTTAAGCATAAAGTACAAATGAATTTAGTTAACAGTTGTCATTTGTTATATTAATTGCTTTTTCCACATGCTTCTGCACTCTCTTCTCACCCTCAATTATATTATTCCATATGTGTTACTCATTCTATGTATTTGTGTGCTATTAAAGTTATATTAAACCATTTTATTTATTAAACCAATGAAATGTAAATTTAATACTTATAATATATGTATATACATGTTAATGTATCTATGTATGTGTGTGTGTGTGTGCCCGCAAACATTAAATAATTTATAATTGTAATAAGTTTTTAATAATTTCTTTATAATTAATTATAATATTATTATTACTATTTATAATAAAAAAGGTACATTAAAGTAACATTATCGCATATATGCATATGTATGTATGTATATTGCAACATATTGTATTAAAAATAATTTTTAGAACATGCGTATATACTATGTTTTTTTTATGCATTTCATTATTTTTTATTTTATTATATTTATTTATTTTTATTAAAGCTAAGAACTATACATTTTACTAGCGACATTGCTTGGGGTTTTCCATTACGGCGCATTTTACACTCCGAACTATTTACTTAAGGTCTGCGTAAAAAAAAAAAACATAAAATATAATAAAAAAAAAATAAAAGGTGAATAAATAATATTTTTTCAGTCATAATGTGCTTTAAGTATTTTTTTTCATTTTCTCTTTCTCTTTAATGCGACTTGAAATTTGGGGGTTTTTCAATTTTTGCTTGCAATAAATCGTAGAAGAAAAAACATTAAAAAAAAAATAACTGTTAATCATTTCACTTGGTTATTAGAATGATTTTGATTAAAGAGAAAAGTTAAAATAAACCTGAAAATTAATTTGATAGCTTGAGATGAAAAAGTAAATTAATGACTAAAAGACAAAAAAAAATTAACATAATTTTGAATTAAAATAGCGGAAAGCAAAATTTTGCAGCCAAAAATCATATGTAAATACTTATTTTTCGTATAAAAATATAAAATATATATAATTTTAGATTTAATATTAATAAAAATAATAAAAGGAACCTCAATCGTAACGAAATAAAATAAGAAAATTAAATACAAAATTCTTAATAAATATTATAAAATGAAATAAATAAATTAAATGAAAAAAATAAATAAAAAATTAAATAAATCAAACAAAACAAAATTTTAAGATTTAAATGAAAAAAAAAAAATAAATAAATGAAAATACTAAAATTAAATACCTCTGTGGGTTAGGGGTTCAAGAATTTAAGAAGCGTCTAAAATCCAATTGTTCCCGCGACAGTCGGGTCTTTATACCGGAAAAACCAGGTTTTTTATCTGGCCAAGGACCGTCACTCCCGGAACATTCCCCAAAAAGTACTTTGGGGAATATTATTGCGGTTACAACGACAACAACAACAACAAAAATTAAATGAAATCAAATTTAAATAAAACTAAAATTTTACACAAAATAAACTAAATTAATAAATGAAAAAAAATAAAATTGTAAATAAGAAACAAAAAAAAAATTAAAATTAACTGAAATCAAATAAGATAATAAAATTTTCCCACTGTAAATTTTGCTTTGTTTGGGCCACAATTGCCACTCAGCGCTAATACTACAACATTGCTTTTAATAATGGAATTGACGCACAATTCTCTAATTAAATATATTTTTCCAATAACTCGAAAATGATTGCCTAAATTCATACACACAATATATGTAAGTATATATGTGCATATCTTCCAATTGCAACTAATTGCCTTCATTATTTATTCACCATAAAGCTCTGTTAGATATAGTATAATAATATGCGTGCGTGTGTAGGTGTGTATGCTATTGATGCCAAAGGTGTGCAAAGTTATTATTTCTCTTTTGATATCATTTGCCAAGAATATGTATGTTGTTATTGCAATAAAGCTAATAATTATAGTTTGTGTATATAAATAAATTATATCGCTATACAATTTGAGCTTTCAGTTTATCAGCCAGACATTACAAGTGCTTAAAATATACTACATATAAGGTATTATGTGTATATATATATATATGTAAATATGTGCATATATGCAGGTGTGTAAAAATATTTATAGGCTAGTCATGGAACGTCAGCTACCAAGTTTCTAACATATTAATTTATAAATGTGCATAGAGTCCGATATACATATGTATGTATGTACGTATGTTTAGCCAATATTAAAAAAACTAAATTTATTTGTAATAATTGCTTCAGCGTTTGCAAATATATACATATTTAATTGTCTAAAATTCATTTTTTTAGCACATATATGTATGTATGGGTATGCTAGAAATTTCGTTGCCAATATATTTTCTTCTTTTTTTTTTAATGTAAGTCAAGCGCACACTCGTGTGCATATCAATTTTTAGGATTACCAATAGCAAAGCTGTCTTTTCTCACAAACACCAACACTGTTTTATGTATTAAATACTAAAAACATTTTGAATCTTCTTCAACTCTCAACACATTCAACTTGTTCTTTATTGCAATTTTTTGTTTATCAAAATCATTTAACAAAATTATGCTACACTAATTTGCAACAAATTTAATTACAGTTTTCAGTTTCATTTTTTTTTCAACATTTCTTACTACAAAAAGTATCTTTCATTCAACTAACAAATATGTAGGTATGTATATAAAATGTTGCTAAAGCTAAAGCACAAATAAACAATAATCATTATATGCGCGCTTTCCAACAAGCTTACGCACACGCTGCTGCTCAGACCACACGCTTTCCTCTTGCCAAATATTTATTTGTGTATGTATGTATATGCGCCTAAGTATCACCTTTTTCTTTCGTTACTTATTTGCGCAATACAAAATTTAAATATTTCATTTTTCCATAAATTTTTTGTTCAACTCTCCTTCACCAACAACATTTAACTCATCATCCGAAAAATTGAACACGACCCCATTACTGCACTCCGAACGCTGCTTTATCTAACTATCCAAAATCGAGTCGTTGACACGATCCAAATCATCGAGTGTATCCTCCGAACCGGAAGCAGTCAAATCACATAACTCATCCAGGCATTTCTGCTTCTTGCGCACATTCCAATGCAGACACTCCGCCAAGGAGTCAAACCAATCTGTTATTTGATCTTGTGCGCATATACTGGGTACCGGATAAATGGAGGTGGTCACACGTAGGCAGTCGCCATGCAGCAGCTCCTGACGATTGCGACCGTCGAAGGAGACCCACGAGGTGTTGCGGCTGTCTGGTGAGATGGAGATCTGTGTAGGGCAAAGAGAAACATATCTTAATAACGAGTTTTAGAGCAAATAAACTCAGCGCTCATACCCTCAACTCCACACCGGCAGGCACCACAATCGGTCGGAAGCTCAGTGAGTGCGGGCAAATGGGTGTGACCATTATCGCCGGCACGGAGGGATGTATCATTGAGGCACCGGCAGCGACAGCATACGCTGTACTACCCGTGGGCGTGGAAACAATCAAGCCATCACCTTGCACCGATGTTATGTATTTGCCGTCCAAAAAGAGATCGATATTGCTTAGATACGGTGATGGGCCACGATCGATGACGACTTCGTTGAGCACCTGCAGGACGAAACCAATTAAAACATTAAAAAATAAATAATTACATAAAATCAATATAAAAAAAATATAGAATCATTTCGAAAAAAAAATATATAAAACAAAAATAAAAAAGAAATTGACAAAAACATATTACCAAAGGCACGCTCCATCAATACGCCACCTCACACTTACCAAAATATTCGTTTCGCCTTTCTTGCTGGTGCCATCACCACCCTTCGTGCTGTAATGCCCACCATCTGTTTGATAGTTATATGAATTCTTCGCTTGATAATCACTCTCCGTCTCCCTGCTGCGATCGCTCTTCCTATAGATAATACACCGTAAGCGACTGCGCAACGTCAGCGCGGCATGACCTTCCAGCACATTGGTCACTTGCTCTTGGAAATTTTCAAATTCGAATGGCGTCAAGAAGCCAAGCGAACCCAAATGGAATGCCATCACTGGTGGCACCGAGTGCTGGAAGAGCAGCGAGGCATAGAGCAGTGTGCCGTCGCCACCGAGACAGACTATGAAATCGATGCGATCAGTTAGATCATCACGGCCATCTCTGTGGTGGAATTTTGTATAATTTGTTTATTAGTAAAATAAGTCACATTGGGGAAAAATATGTTTCACTTCTACTCACTTGAATGTCACTAATTTCTCTTTGATTTTTTTAAATTTCTTATCCTCTACTAGCAGTGGGTCATCTAACACCGCCGACTCGACCCACACTACCATATGCTTCTCCTGCACCAGCCATTCGACCAGCTGTACGAAGGGCGCTAGCACTGTTGTGTCACGCACTTTCTTTATGACGAGCACGGTGAGCGGTGGTTTGTACCAGGTCAAGCGTTGACTGGCGGGATCCTGTATTTGCCTAAAAAGAGTAGATAGGAAATTCATTAGAGTTTAACAGGAAATTGTTATGACTAAATTTAAATATCCCCAAAAATTCATTCAGAAATTACATTTTAACCTGATCTTTAGGATTAACCGTAACCGTATCCTAACCTTAAATTTTATTTTTGACTGAGTTTTCCTTAATTTAAAATTTTTTTTCACGTTATTTAGCTCATAATAAATTGTAATTTTAAATTTAATCTACCTTATTTTTAATTTAGTAATAAAAATGATTTTATGTCTATATAGGGTTAGTAGCTGAGCCAGAGTGTGTTCATTGTAATACCATGACGTTGGACCGATCGTTAAGCTTTAGGGTCCAGTCACTTCGATTTCCTCCTAAATATCAATCAGTCAGGTTATTTACCTTAACGACTGCCATCACAGACAAATCAACAACACAAAAAAGTAGCCTAGCCTAGCAATCCTTTCAGAGATGAGAAATCGTTTAATCTTCCTCATCGTTCTTTCAACATCTTAAAATGAACTGAATTAATTATTTGCCTCCAAAACCTCCTTTATCGGGAAGAAACTGCGTTGTGCTTCATTGCTTAGTTATTTCATGTGCCTTACTTGTTCTTCCTATTGCATTTGTAACTCTATGAGATCGGCGATCATTGTCTCTACCCATCTTTTCTTTAGTCTGCCGCATCCCATATGGATTTTTCTTGAAGGCTTTTCTCGATGCTCTCAGATTTGGCGTTCTCTGCACATGTCTAAGCCAACATATTCGCTGGGATTTTATGAATTTTATGATTTTTTGTCAATTATTCGGGTTTTCAAGGCGGGAGTTGAGTGTCATCTTCCAACCTGATTGCACCAGATATTTGTCTAATTATTTTCCGTTTGAAAGTTCTGTTATGGTCCACGCCAGTCGCCATACACAACCGAAACCAGGAAGCCAAAAGTGGGATAGGCTGTTCTGCATATACGATCTACCCCTGTGGATATCGGCGACGGATTAGCACAATTTTTTAATTTATATTCGACTGCAAAATAATTTGCAACTTCCTCAGTTGCTGAAATTTTTATTGCAAGAATCCGGTAGTATGACAGAACGCTCAAAACTTTTGGTTTCCTGAGAAGACATTATCATCAACTCGGCCTTCTAGCTTATAAATCTTAAAACTATCGACTGGTGAACAGAAATCTTAGTTCCATTCTTCGTTTCGTGAGACTTGCCTCATATACTCGTAATTATTACTGGTAACTAGAATTAAGCGCTTCATTCTCGGATGGTTTAACTCTTTTAGGTGAGAGAGTAGATGTCTTGCCGTCAGATATCTCACTTTGTTGGATTTCCTTACCGAGTTTCAAAATTAATCCACTTGCTTGTCGTAGGTCACCACGCAGGCATTCCTTAGGAAGTTAATGCTCTAATCACTGATATACAGATCCGGTGTAAAATCTTAGTATTTAAGTCCCACTTCTTGCAAATATTCTTCTTACAGATTTTTAGGGCGATGCTGGCCTTATTATATATTTATCCTTGTGTAACGCAGATAAGGGTTCTAATCTTAGAACTCATATACAGATTTTGGAACTTTAAAATCCCTTCTCACTATTCGTTTTTTTACGTCCCTTGTCTTTACTCCTTCCTATAATATTATATCTATTGACTTTGTTGGTTTTTCAGTTCACCTCCAAAAAATTGTTCACTGATCGGTTTCAAGTTTACTTAAGCTTGTCTTAATTTAATTATATTAATTTTCTCATTGGAAATTTGACTTTACTTAATTTTCTGTAATTCTTATTTTCGTTTTATGTAAAGTATATCCGAAACTCGAAACTTATCTTTAACATTAGTTCTAAGTTTGAATAGCAATATTTATTTTTTATTTGAATTTCTTCCATTTACTTACATAACCACTGCTTGATTTTTCATTATTCGTCCACATGGTCCAAATTGTTGGAATGGCGATGGTGCATTCAAGCTTCGGGTGCGCCTAAAAATATACAAAAAAAAGTAATAACATTTAGTAATTAATATTCAGAATTTATATAGCGATAATGAATGGTTAAAATATTCCACATTGCTGATGAAAAACTGAAATTTTTTCGGAGAGAGAATATATATTAAACCCTTTTCTTGAATTCATCGTTGTAGGATTCGAAAATCACACTCTCGTGACATCGAAACTACATTGGTTTAAAGAATATAAGTAATTATATGAAAAAATAGACATATTAATGTAGATAAATGTGGATAAAATGTTGATGTTAAATAAAAATTATTGATAATTATTCTAAATCTGGCGAACATTTATAAATGACACATTATTCAGTTCTTTTGCTCCACTCTAAAAATCCCTATCATTTTTACACTTGACCTCAAGAAACTCCGAAAGTATTTCGAAGAATCAATCATAAGGTTTCATCTTCCCGGCCTCACTACACTTCATAAGTCACTTGTAAACTGGTTTGCCTCTCTTGAAATAATTTAAGCGCAATTACTTGCGTGGTTTTATGAAAGTTTGTAGAATATTTAACTGAAATCTGTGAGTTGCATGTTTTGAGAGATAGAATGTGAGTACATTAGGAATCTATTTCAATAGTATGTCTTTGGCAGATTTTGCAAAAAAAAAAGAATCGGTAAAATATTTGGTCCATTTTTTTATTCAAATGAACTTTAAGTACTCAAAATCAACCGATTTAACTAACGAACATACTTGACACCCGACTGAAAACTGATTTTTTTAACAATAGTTTATATTTTTTTTTTTCATAATTTAGCCCAATTATAGATGTCGCATTGTAAGTATAATATTAGAGGAAATTAATAAAAAAAAATCGGGGAATTTCGCAGTTACCGGCCAAAAGTAAAATAATTGTCTTCAAAGCGATAAGAAAACATTTTTTTTTATTTTGCTATAAGTTTTTTAATTTTTATTATATGTCTTTTATTTTTTTATTTACTTAATATTGAATTCATTTATTTATTTTTTTCATTGTTTTAATTTCTTTAATTTTTAATTTTTTGATGCTTACTTAAAATTTTTTATTTCACTTTTAAATGTAAAATTTTTTATTTTATTATTTTTTTTTTATATATTTTTTAGGGTTTTTTAAAGTCTTCATTAAACATGCCATAATTTCTGACTGTTTTCAACATACGAGCACACTTAAAAGCCCAATTTGGCGGTATATTTTGCTAGTTGTACATACGTGTATGTCTGTATATACTGGTTGCTCATAATACGTCAAGAAATAAATGAGCAGTCAGAAACCAGATTTTTTAGTTGATCACCTTAAAATTGTTTAACGCAGCGCGGTTGGTGGCTAGCGGCTGGCGCCTGGCACCGAAATCTTTTAAGAGAACTTTTTTTTTACTAGAATTTATTTTATATATTTTTTTTTTTGTATTTTGTAGACGTAAAAGATTTTTAGGAATTTTTGGCCAAAAAAAGAACGAACGTGTAGCCTTTAATGTGTGTGTGTGTATGTGAAAGTAAGCAATATTTATCGTCGATTAAATATTTATATTAAATTTTTGATTTTCGGCCATATTAACGGAGCAATTCTTTTGTTTACTCCATTTCCATTTAGTTTTCTAAACTTCTAAATATTTATATATACATATGTATATATATATATATGTATAAATTTATAATTCTTTTAATTGTTTATATATATATATATATATATATTTTTTTTATTTTTATATATTTTTTAGTTTTTTCATATTATATTTCTTTTAATTTTTTTATTATTTAGTGCAAACTGTGAGTGTGTAGTGTGTGTGTGTGTGTGTGTGTGTGTGTGTGTGTTAACCTTAATGTTCTGCAATCCGCTGTGATTTTGTCTTGCAACGACAACTGTTCCAGCCCATTTTCGCCAGTACCAACAGCAACACCAACACCTACGCCATTGAATGCATGAAAACCGTTATAGTCTTTAATGTTATTATTAAATTCTTCCAAATCAATGCCGGTGCGTTCAATGGGCAATGCGTCCAATAACAATTCTTGATGGCGTCGATGTATCGGAAACATATTTTAAATGATTTTATGTGTTGCTTTTAGTAAAATTTTTAATTACTTTTTTTTTCTTATTTAAATAGTATTTTTTCCCCTATCTTTAAATAAATATATTTTTAACTCTTAACATTGATAACTTTTTTAATTTCTGTAAATTAAATTTTTTGTATTTTTTAATTCAAATTGTTTTTTAATTGTATTTAAATTAAAGGTTTTGCTATATTTTTTATAATTTTATAACACTTAACACTTTAGAAGACACGAGTAAATATTTTGAAAATAAGTTTATTTGCTTGTCTGTAATTTTTCTGGCATCTGCATGTATGTCTGTATGTGCACTGAACTAGATTTAATTTTTTTGAATTTTTTCTTTGCTTTTTGACTATTTATTATTATTTGCGCTAAATGTTTTTGCCTTTATTGTTATTAATTTTTTTTGTGTGTATATATGTATGTTTGCGTTATTAGCCAATTGTGTTGCCGTAGTTTATTGTTTAAGCTTGTTGCTTGTTGCTCGCCCGGCCGATTGTCTGTTGCTACTGTGCGATGCGACTTTAAGCGTTTGCCTTTTTGATGATTGCCTTTTGATTGGCTTCTTTTTTATTTTTTTATTTTTTTATTTTTTATTTTTTTCCTTTTTTGGATTTTACTTGTTTATTCGCTGTTGTTATTGCTTTATTAGCAGTCACTGTCAGACGCTGAGTTTGACTGCTCTTGCCCATACGAAGGTTAAGAAAATACTGAAAACAACGTGCTACCAACAATTGGTAATAAGTTGAGTATTTTCGGTATAATAATATTGTATTTTTTTTTTTTTTTTGTTTGGACAAAGAGACAGTCAGAGCGACCAGTCAGCTAGCCAGGCCCGCAGAGTCGTGTTCTCAGCATGAAGACACGGTGGCGTATGTATGCGCTGTAAGGAAGAAGCTTACACATTGAGATGAGCGAGCTTGAGGTGGCTTATGAGCAATAACGACAACAAAATAGTGTAAACATAAATATTAAAAGCAAAAAAAAAAAAAATTTCAATGGAAATATTGTAAACAAGCAAATACATATGTAGAGTTGCACAGGCGGATGCTGTGTCGATTTGTTTGAGAGAGCAGCGATGTTGTAATAGTGGGGAATCCACCTACGTTTGTACATACGAATATGGCAGAATTCTTGAAAGCTTTTATGGGTTGGCAAGCGCTAAAGGCACTCGAACTGGTTGACGCATGACGAATTAAAAGCGATATTAATTCCAAAACTCAAGCGGCATGACTTGGTTGTGTGATAAATAAAAGCGAGAGTCGACATTTGGAGATGGCGCAGCGGAAGATGTGGCTAGTAAGCTAACTTTGTACCAGAACATTAATGGAAAATTATCAAAAACAAAAGAACCGGATTAACTTTTTCTTCAGATACTCGCGGCTTTCTTTCTTATTTCCGGCTCTGATCCACCTTCCTTGTACTTCAATGACTGTAATTAATTGAAATTTATTTCAATTTTTCTCGGCTATTTACCTTCTGAAAACTTTTCATAAATTTGTTTACGGTGTTCAACTTCTAGGCCAAAGAGCTTTGCAAATTTTTTTAAATTTCCCAATATGTCTTTTATGTAAATTAAGTTCTCAAAAACTACAAAATCAGTATAAATATATATTAATATTAACCAACTTCATAAATGAATTGGAAAAATTATTTTTAACTAGTTAAGACACGGCTCGCTTGGTTTCAGGTAAAAATAAATTATTGGTTAATGATAAAAGCCGGTGCTAGATAAGAAAAAAATTAAATTTGTTTTCTCTCATTTGATTTCTGAACAAATTTAATTTTTTCGAACGACACCTTACCCGAAAACAAACAAAAAATAAAACTAAATATATTAGAAGAAAATCAAATAAAATAAAAAACAATAATATATATATAAAAAAATTGGAAAAATAGGAATAAACATTATAAAAGTCTAAATTTAGAATTTTTTAAATTTTATATTATTTTTTATTTTTATTCGAATTGGAATTCGCAACAAATTTTATTTTCTTTATAAGAAATATTACACAAATCGAATACAAAAATTATTAAAGAATTAAAAGTTTAGAAAATGGAAGTGGAAATGGAGATACACTAAAAAAAATTAAAAAATAATTTAAAAAAATTAAATATTAGTAATTGTATGAAAAAAACAAAAACGAAAAACTACTAAATAAGGTAAAACAATAATAAATGGAAGTGGAAATGGAGATACAATAACAAAAAAATTAAAAAATAATTTAAAAAAATTTAATATTAGTAATTGTATGAAATAAATAAAAACGAAAAACTACTAAATAAGGTAAAACAATAACAATTTCGGTGTAAACAAAAATTTAATATAAATAAACCAGAGAAATGAACTATAATTAAAGTAAACAAAATTCAAATAAAATAAAAAATTAATAATTTCCGCCCAACGTGGGGCTCGAACCCACGACCCTGAGATTAAGAGTCTCATGCTCTACCGACTGAGCTAGCCGGGCAGCTATAATTAATTTTCGCTGCCGCAGTAGCGGTATTTTCATTAGGGTTATTCACAATAAAAGTAATATAAATTAATTTTGATATTTTCCTCATATTCTTATTAATTCAAATGTCAATGCACAAAAATTTTCCAGATATAATTATTTACAGCAAAATTATATCTACTATGAATTATATATATATTCTATTATATGAATTCTTTGATAATTTAAAGAGTATTCAAATGAAGTTGGAGGGTTTGAGAATCTGCCCCTGGACGAGCGCACTAATACTAGCAAAAAGTGCGATTACTCCGCAAAAAAAAAGAAATTGCGCCCAACGTGGGGCTCGAACCCACGACCCTGAGATTAAGAGTCTCATGCTCTACCGACTGAGCTAGCCGGGCAGTTGCGGTATGCTGTAAATACAAATGCACTTACATTTGATATATTCGCAATAGTTTATTTTATTTGAAAATTTTCAAAACC